AAAGACGATTTTTTTCGATAACTAGAATTTTGACTTAACGAGTGTACGGTACAGCTTAGGATAAATTAGCCAAAGTCCAGAGGCCTGATCGATAGGTCTTGGTTTTCTATTTGCTCACATTCCAACTAACAAATCAATATCTCCCGTTAAGAAAAAGTACCGTAAATTTTAAATGCTAAAACGCTTCGACGAAAAAAATCGATTGATTTATTAAAACTTGCCTAAATAAATTGTAGTTGTCATTCCTGCAAGGCGTTTTTCACCTTGAAACCCTCCCTTCATTCACGCCATTAAATGCATTACCTCAGAGAAAAAAAATCATGCATTCACTATTTTAATTTAACCCAATTGCAAACAAACCACTCACGCAAATAAATACGTTCACACAACCGTAGTCAATAGGGTATTTTATATGCCAGTGATTAGCCCCACATTACACATGTCCAAAGCATTTCCAAACCTATCCTACTTTTTCTAGGTCAAGGGTAACCTTTTACAAATCAAATGAGGCCCTTTCCAAGTCGGGAGCAACCCTTTCCAATTGAAACGTAACCCTTTCGTATGAATTTAAACCCTTTCCAATTGAAATGTAACTGCGTACTATTCAAAGATTTATTTACAAAATCCAATTGTAAATAAAAGTAAGAAATTTTATGGTTTTATTTACCTCATACATTAAATAATACATTAAATCGGACCAAATATTGTTGTAAGATAATCAATGGAAGACTAAGAGATAATTCAAAATATTAAGGATCCCCACTTTTTTGCGAATTTTTCTTCCTTTCCGTGCTTCTTCTCTCTCACTCACTCTCTCTCTCTCCCTCTCTCTCTCAAAAAAAAATAAAGAGAAAAATTAAAACATTAAACTTAAGACGAAACAATATATTCGAAATTCCAATTAGAAACTGAACAAAAAACTTAGAACTAAAACATACTCCAACTCTTTCTTAATAACCAGCATAAAGCTGTTTAATAATGTCCCAAATAGTATTTCTTCTGAGAGCAGTTTTCGAACTTTCGAAGAAAATATCCAAAACATCCGATGGAAAATAATTAATACCATCATAAAAGCATGGAATCATAAATTTTTAATATTATGTTTTATATCGTGTGGTTTTGCATTCTCGAAATAATTATCTTAATAAAGAAAATTAAAAAATAATTGGTTCATTAATTTAAAGTCGTGTCTATCAAAAATTCTTGTTGGTTTTTATTGTTCACTTTTTGTTTTATGTTATTCGTTGATTTCTTACATAAATAAATACATATTGTCTTACAAATTTATAAACCAAAAATTATTGTATTGTGAAGTATTTAGTAAAAAATGTGTAAAACTATATTTTTTGTTTGTATTCTATTTGTAAAATAAATTGTAAAGACCAAAAGGGTTTGCATAAATTGTGTGTATAATGTAAATTGTACAACTCACGTTAAGTGGTAGAAAGGTATTTGCGTGTTAAAATAAAAGTTTAATCACTCAATCAATCAATATCTCTCACACACACACCCACACTCTCTATCTGTCTATCTATCTCTGGGTAGTTACAAAAGTCTCTCTCTTTTCTCTCTCTCTCTCTCTCTCTCTCTCTCTCTCTCTCTCTCTCTCTCTCTCTCTCTCTCTCATACTCATAAATATCTATCTATATTTATATTTATACATATATCATTATATCTGTACCTCTCTATCTTTCTCTTTCTGTATAAATATATCATTGATTTATGATAGTACTACGTCTCCTTCATACATAGTTGATAGAATTGAACACTACCTTCAGATTTACAGAAACATAGGGAGACCCCTCCAAGATGATTACATTGGTGTATATAGATAATCGTTGGTAGTATGAGGTAAGTTGAAAATAAAATAGAAATCAAATTGAAAGGGTAAGTTGTCAGAAAGTAAATTAACCATTGTAGATAAATAGTTTTTGTAGTTTGCCTCCGCTTATAATATGTTTTGAAGGATAGAGTAAGAAAGAGCAAGTAGCCGGTTTTAAATTTAAGTCGGTTCTCACACTCTGGATTACAATCCTGAAATAAGTGGGTTTTTAGGATGGTTCTCCAGGGACGACACTAAAATTTATTTTTCACTGTGGTATTTCTATTCCTAAGACATTTGTATAAGTAAAGCGAGGAAGAGCGCAATTTGGTGCTGCGAAGCATTGCAGCATTTGCTATTGTCTGGCACTGTCCCAAGGGTAAGGGAGCCCAACAATACTTCTCTATTATCACAAGAGATATGTTGAACCTCCAGCCCCCTTCGAGCTCGCTTTATCAATGAAACTTAGCAATTGTTTATGCTAAACTGTTATATGTTTTTCCATTTATGTTTTCTGCCCCAGTTGAGCCCCAAGCGTTAATCACCAGCTTACGGCTCTTGTCCGTTCTCTGCTTAACTAATGGCCTTTCCTTTCGCCTCCTCATAATTCAACGTTTTTTCGCCGGAACGGACTGACATGCCAATTTTTAATTACAATTTCTTAGGGTAGGGAATTTTTTTCAAGTAAATTATTATCGATTTATTTAAACCTATAAACCTATATGGTAAAAGGGGAAAACGACAAGACAGTCGCTTCCATTAATCCTGTGAATCGTACGTACATAGTAAAACTTTCGAATGTTTTTTATCGAAATGAATAAAATTACATTTTTTCTTTCAGTTAAATATAAATTGTAATTAAGGATATTATTATTTTTGGTACAAAAAATACACAATATATTTTTTCTCTTGATCAAATCTAATTAAGCTTAATAAGTACTAGCATTGTTTCTTGCTTTTTTTCATTGATTGTTACATTTTATTTTTGTTTTAAAGCTGAATATATAAATATTTTATAAGTTGTTACGAATGATTAATTATTTAGCTTTTGCCTATTTTCAAATGAATAAAGAATCACCGCTCTCATCAAGAATTTTTGATTTATTCGTGAAAATAGAGATATGTCGCTGTTGATTTATGAACGATCAAACTCCTAACATAACGTCGATACATAGAAAATTCACCAAATAGTTAAAGAAGGCGAGTTGTCCAATTTATAGCGTTGGTTTAGAATTTAATCAAATCCAGCCGAAGAGGAGCCTTATCCAGGTTCATAAACAAGTCGGCCGACGATGGAAAAACCCTGTTCTGAAAATTATTTAGAGAAACGGAAATAAAAAAACATTCCACTCGGAGAAGCACAATCCATCGGACTCGATATCGAGTAGCCGATATAAAAATATCTCTTCTGAGTTAATATTCCGGGGGGAGGGGTTAATTTGTCGCTAATCCTGTTAGGCGATCTTGTTTTCTGGACTGGACCGAACGAGTCGGGAAGGAAATTTTTGACTGGATGTCTAGTTTGGAAAATGGAAAATTTACGTAGCCCACTCGATAGGTATTCGCAGACCTTGATGAATAAATTCGTAGACATACGGCATTCTCCTGGGGAGCGAAGTCCCTCGGCAAATTGAATGCGCTCACGACGTTAACAGTGCGGAAAATTCAATCCAGGAAATAACCGCATCGGTGGCGGAGGGGGGGGGGAATAGGACGAAACATTGTAATTTACCCCTGCTCGTTCTGCTGTATTTCAATGGTTTTCAAAAAAACTATTTACTGTAGAACCGTCAGAAGTTCACCCAACGCAGCAACTGTTAAAATAGTAGTGACATAAAGCTTAGACGAAATGTACTATTTAAATAACCTTAAATAATACTTTATAAAGTAAGTCCTTCAATAAAAAAAGGCGACAACTATATTTTCATTAGAAACGCCAGAATTTCATAACTACAAACAATTATCCATCTGACAAAGTTATTGTTGTAATTTTATAAACTAATCTCCTTTCGTTCCTGATTTTTCGCTGAACTTACCACTTTCATTCCACGAAAAGCGGAAAAGCTCTAACTATAAAACTAAAATGTTTATGACGTTGAAATAAAATAATCCTAACTGGTAAGACTATATTTAATGTTTCATCGCAAAAGCAAGTTTTATGTTTGTTAGAGTGTTGAACATTTCAGATGTTGAGAATGACCAAACCTCTGCCAATAGATTACCTACTCAAAATGTTAAAATTGATCATTAATTGTAAAAAAAAAATAATTTCCTAAATTACAACATGCAATAGTTAATAGAGTCGTTGTAAAATTTTATTTTAAGCCAAAAATTTCGGGAAAATATTGAAGCAATTCTTATAAGCTAATTCCCAAATCAGGTTAAGTAATTAGATTTGTCTTAATCATGGAATTCCTTATTCATTCTTCCGTACTACTTTATAGTTCGAATAATTTTAGTTTAATTCATTGGCATTGCCGGCTAAAAATATGTAAACTTTATAATTCATAAAATTAGATCGCACTTACTCCGCCACACTTTTTTATAAGACCCACTCACTCTCTCACTCTCTCTCTCTCTCTCTCTCTCTCTCTCCCTCTCTCCCTCTCTCTCTTTCCTATCCAATTACTCAATAAATCTCTTTACTTCTCTCATAATTTATTTCCCTCTGTTATTCATATTTCACTCATTTTTACATTTTGTCTAACACTCTCCATATTACTCTCTCACTAACTGATTCTCTTTTACTTTCCCATTCTCAATGTCTCCCACCTATTATCCATCTTTTTTTACGAGGCAATTACAACTACGTGGTTATATAAACCCTCGGGTTTTTTGGAAAAATAAAATAAAAAACGTTTGTAAGTATGTCTGGTTCGAATGCAGGGCCGCTGGATTCGAACCGGGGACCTTTGCCTTACAGCGATGAGCGCCGTGTCAACAACCGACGCCCCTTATTTTAACATCTTTAACACCATCGCTCAATCACAATCACACCTCTTCTTTTTTTCTTTCATTCCCTTAACTTTAATCCGCTCGTATTGATGCTGAGCCATAATCAACCATTAAAATTTTTTGCCTAAGAATAAACTTTATTCAATGAACAAAATTAGCCTACGAATAATCGTTGAAATTGTTTATATTTTCAAATTAAAATGATCAGAATAGCTTTAGAAAAATTTGTCGTACGTACGTTAGTGAAACGGAGGTCATCCTACCCTCTGCTGGTTGCCGCGGCAATCAGAACCTTCTTCTAGTGATCACTGGAGCGTAGTTTGACTCTGTTGGAGGTTCCACTGCAGTTATCCCTGACACCAGTTGCAATGTCCACGTTATCATTCTGTTGATTACTCTTCTGGTGCCGTACATCGACGCAAGACGTTCTTCCAGTAATTTACCCACCATTTCAACACTTAGATATGATCTTGTATGTTTTTATAACGAGGACGAAAGACGGCTTGCCCCTCTCGGCTAGCACGGACTTCAACCACGAGATAAACAGGAACATCAAAGAGAACAAGAAGTACGTGAAGATGGTGGCGAACAAAGCACCTCAGCTTCCTGAGAGGTGCATACTCGAGCTAGAAGACTCCGTAATTTAGTGAGTATGGGTCGTCTCTTTCCTCTTAAACAATCTGTCAAGATTATTTCATTTAAATTGTTCCCACAGTTAATGGTTAATACCATGGTAACTATGTAGTACATTCGTACTATAGCCAAGTATTTGCTTTAAAAAAAAATCAATAAACATGGTGGCACTTCTCTTATGTAATTAAGCCTAATTTTGAATTAATGGACGGTTGCCTGGTCCAAGATATGAGCCAGTATGATTAGCATAACATTGGTGTCAACTTATCAATGTTTCTTTTCTGTGGGGTTTCTTGACACACTGTCCCCCTTTTCGGCCATTGGCAGGGTTAGTTGCCAGTGTGTTTCAAAGGAAAGAAGTGAAAATTCTTAATGTGTTCTTTGTATGTATATTTGTCTCTTGTTATTTTATCTCTCTATCTTGTTATTTTATTAATAAATTGACAACCCAGGATAACAATAAGAGGTAAGCAAGTTATAAAAACAGAAAAAATATGAGAAAGTTCAGCGAAATAAAACTAAAACTCAGAATTTTCTGTTGTAATTGTACTGAGGGCGATGATGACCTCTAGGCGTTTAATTACTTCTTAAATACAACCAGGTGTGAACACAATGTCCCGAACAGAGAAAGATGTAGATGACTTTTATTTTAAGATATGGTGATCACTTTTATCAATGTCAAGTCAAAATAGTGGACAACATTGTTTGTTGGGAGAGAGACAAATTTGTAGTTTAGAGGAGAGGTGATATGGTGAGGGATGAAATTTATTTGCTATGATTTGGTTTCGTCCAATATGATCCTCCATTTCTTGAACCATGCTTTCAAACCAGATAGATGGTCCTGGAGGCGGAAGTTGGCGTTTTTTTTTTTTTTTTTTTTGGGGGGGGGGGTTTTTGTTATAGCCGTATGTAGGAAAGTGCTATTCCTATTCCTTACAAAACTGAGCACTTTCCTTGTTGCCTATTTATGGATCTCCTTGGGTGTTATAAATATTCTTCCGAAGTGGCTGTATCGTAAAACAGGCTAAGGCTTTACATTCACAAAGGATATGTGCCGATGTCTCTGGTTCCTCTTAGCAGAGCCGGCATGTTTCCGTCTCAGCCTTGCCCACCTTCTTAAGGTGAGAGTTAAGAGGGCAGAGGCCAGTATAAAGGCCTATAATCTTCCTCAAATCCTGCTTGCTGAGGGAGAGGAATTCTTTCATTTTCTGTTTTGAGATGTTTATAAATCTCTTAGCCTGTCTGTCTCATATCTGGTATATTTGTCCGGTGTTTGAGTTTTTCTTCCTCAATCCATTTTTCCAGTTCCTACTAAAGCACACACTCTTGAGTACTTAGTTGTGGTTCTGGTCCCATGGGTGAAAGGGTTGCTCCTTTTTTGGCTAGGTGATCAGCCTGTTCATTTCCTTCTATGCCTTCATGTCTGAGAACCCATTTTAAGATAATCTTTTTTTGCTTTCCCAGAGTCATTAGGCAGTTTAGGCACTCCCAGACATGTTTGGAGTTGAAAGCATATGCATTTCAGCCTTTATGGCTGCCTAGCTGTCTGAGAGTATGTATATCTGGGCACCTTTCATATTATTCTTTATTAGCTCATGTGCACATAGTTGTACTGCATGTACTTCAGATTGGAAAATCATTGGGATTAGTCCAAGGGGCTTCGCTAGGATGTAATTTGGCCTTGGTTGGCAGTATCATCTAACGTTATTGTGTCCTATCTAATTGGTAGAAATATCTGCAGTGAATAATAAATATAAAATAGGACCAAAGATTGCTGCCTTGTGGAACACCTGCTTCGGCATAGTGTACGGGGGAAAAGGATGTTCTGATTCATCCTTGAAAGAACCTGTCAGACAGATAGGCATTTAGGATAAGGAAATAAAGGAATGGAAGGATACCATTGAGTTTCTAGAACAGGGTCCCAGACTTGATCAAACCCTTTCACCTAGGAAAGTACCCAAGCAACATTCCTTCCATTAAAGGATCACCTTGGATTGAGAGGAATGGAACAATCGAGCATTCAAGTAAGGAATATATGTAGTTGGTTCAGTGGCAGCAAACTGCTAGGGCGATATGACATAGAAGGTGCTGAGGTTTTTGAGGTGTGGGAGCAAGTTTTATGGTACTTTCCATTGGATTGAGTTGAAGAAGGAAGAGTATAACTTTTTTTAAGGAGATTTTGGAGGATGTTTATGGTGTTAAGGTCAAAACCAGTGGATTTTTTTTACTATGAAGTAACTGATGATGAATTTGACCTTCGATGGCGTGAAGGGAGTTGACTACTCAATTAAAATAATATTTTGATCAATCATTACTTGAATTATCACAACAATGAAAGAGTCCATGATATTTTCTAAACTTTACCATAAATTTCAATTAAGAAAATATGAATTTTTTTTGTAAGAAAAATAAAAAATATATATACACTTTTTGTACATAAAATGTAGTTAAGATGATATATGTATGTGTCTTCAATCTCTGTCGTTTCCAATGTTTCACATCATACACACTCACTCATTTTCCACCAGATGTTTGTATGAATTTGAATTTAAAGGAATTGAAAATAAAACAGAATTGTAATACTGACAAAATAAACGTCAAAGATTTAAATCTAATGTATATTAATAAAAGGGGTCTGGTGGCTGAGTTGTTATGAGTGATTCTTATATTAGACACGCTAACATTGCTGGGTTCGAATTCTGGCATTGCTTAAAAAATTACTGAGGTTTCTTTGTGACTTTTGCCAGGTGGAAAAAATATTGTAATGTAGCTTTGTCCATTTCAACTTCTGGAGAACATTCTCCCTTTTTTTCTAGTACATTAGGGGAATGTAAATAAAAACCAATTACAATGTGCAAAGTGCACATTTGCCCCGGATTGCCCTAAGTGATCTGGTACCCCCGAAGACGGCCGTGGCTGGCCCTTGCAGCCTGGCCCTCTCCTTTACTATTTATTTAAAGATGAAAATATGAATATAACGAAGAAGATTAACATTCACTGTTGTCTGAACTCTCATCACCCAAAATGGGAAGTTAAATGTTAAGCCCATCTATGACAAGAATTACTGTATTTTCACCTTTATAATAGCAATATTTTTAAAACGAAGATTTAGAACAAAATGAACACATATTTGCCATCCCATTTGTGATAAATAAAAAATATAAAATAGAATATACAAAATTTTTTGTTTGGTTAACTGTATTTATTTTATTAGACATTTACACTAAATTATATCTCATCCAAATTATAACTCTTTTCAAAAGTAATTTTTAATTTTATTTCAGTATGACTACATACATAGGTGTATCCTATCTTGTGTTAGTGGAGTACCACTACTCTGCTGCGTTGGCGTTTAATTTCCTAAATGATCTCATGAAAGAGTTCATTCAGAAATATGAAACTTCAAAAATTGATAATGCCAGGAGGCCATTTCATTTTATTGAATTTGGTATGATTTTTTTTATATCAATTATTCTTCTCAAATGAAATTGCATAATCTTTTTTCATACATTCTAGATACATTCATACACAAAATGAGGCAAGCGTACAACAACCCCCAGACATTAGCGAGAAGGGTGAACCTGAATGATCTCAATGCCGAATTGAAACTCAGACCACCTTTCAGGCTCACAGTAGACCTAAATGTAGCCAAATTGGGAGGTTAGTTTTCATTCCTGTGGTTGACGTTTAAAATGACTCCTGGGGGCTGAAAAAGAGGAAGCTTTTATGGTTTGTCGTTTAAAAATGTGATTTTTTATCTAGCACAAATCATACTTTTGCCTTCTTACCTTTCTACAATATTTCCTTGATTTTTTATATTATAAATTTTGTCCAAATGTTTATCTCCATTTCTGTTTTTGTTATTTTCAGTTGGACCAAGGACGGCACTAGAACCCATGCCGATCTTTGGGTGGGTGGCTATACTATTTGCTTCGTTGTTGTTTATGTTGGGGATTTTACGGGGGTTTTCAGCTCTTCATGTTTCAAGCATGGAGGTAATTTTAAATTGGAAAAAGACATCAATTATTATATAATTAATTTATCTAATTAAATAATAGGTTTATGGAGGGACAAGCCCATGGCATGGTATTTTATATATAACCGAAGCACTGTGTAGACTTTATCAGGTATTTCTTTCTTTTAGATAATTGCCGTTATTATTACATATTATATTAAAACTTAACATTATTTATGTAACAATTACATCCTTTACTTTTTTCAGATATATTTGCTTTATTACAAAACTAGACATAGAATGATGAAAAGTTGGGTTACCACTTCTGCTCTTCTCTTACATATATTCATTCTTTGGAATTTGAGAAACCCATATCAACATAGTGTGTTCATCCTTTCAACACTGGCAACACTTTATTACACAGCAGTTAGAAAGAACCAAGAAAAACTGCCAAACCTTGAAGTTTAACAAAAAATAAGGAGAAGAAAAAAAGAGGGAGAGAGAAACAAGATCTCTGTTTTAAATTTGTAATCATTCTATATATATGAATATTTTGTCAATATAAAAATTGATGACAAGTGAACAAACAATTCTATTGTTACCTACATATATTTTTTGTAAATTAATAAATCATTTAATATATACATTATGCAGTTCTGTTTACAAATTTATTTTTTATCATTTGAACCTTAAATTCAAAGGTTATTCTCTATCCTACTGAAGAAGCTGATAGCATGCCACTCCCAGTCACTAGGTCCAATTTTTTGCTTTTCATCTGAACAAAAAACTGTGTTGGAAAAAATCATACTGCCTTTGTTTTAGAAAAATGGTGAAAAATTATTTAATATGCAGCATTACTAACAGCTGCTGGGGAGCATGGATGTAGTCGCAGCTTCTATCCTATCAGTAGTTGATTATAGATCTATGTTCTACTTTCAAAGCTTCAAAACCAACCTCAAAAGGTGTTTCAAAGAAATGCATAAGGTAAATATCGAGTTGTGTTTAGTACACACAATTACTATTTGCAGAAGTAAGGAGAAAAGCCATCGCATTGAGGAGAAACACACTCTTAATTTCATGCTAAAACTTTGTCACAATATTTCTATAAAATGTCTGTCAAAATATACAATTTAACTGTGAAAGTCTTAACTCACAATGGGAGAAAAAAATACTATCTCTTAGGGTAACGGCCTCGGACCCCAAGTGAATGTGTAATTGTCTATAGATGTATTTATTGTAAATTATTTTTTATCCATATCTTCAAAAGGGGATCTGTTACAGTCAGTAAATGTAAGATGGAATAATGGGTATAATATCATCTGTGTGCCTGCTTGGCGGGTTGACCTCTCTTCTGGGATACAGTTAACATGTGGCAGATGGCCGAAGACAAAAAAATTAAATACTCGCTTAAAATTCTATATAAATATGTATCTGTATTTATCATTTGGCCGTTTCTAGATGTACAGTGAAAATTAGGATTACATTAGTTTTACATTTTATTTAAATTGTAAAATAGAGCACAATCTCTTCAAATTTTTGAAATGAATTAATTTACTTCAATCTTAAGTTAACCACAGTAAATTTTCATTTCCATTTTTTCCCAGCTTGTCTAAATTTTTCACTATCCTCCATGCACTGGTCCCAATCAGCGGATAAATTTTGCCAGACGTAATCACCAATTTTTCGCATTTCTCTTTCCATGAATTTAAGAGTTTCTCTTCTATATCTACTACGATGGGTGAAGTTTCATCATCCAATTTCCGCGCGTCTACATCAATTTTCCAGTCTATTTGCACAGCTTTTGTTTTTGCACTTTTTCTCCGCAGCTGTAGCAATTTTTTCAAGAGGCGCAGGGTCAAATGGAGAAAATGAGGCGTTTTTTCTAGTAAATCAATACTGCAATCATAGCTTGCTATATTTGCCGCTTCAGAAATGAGTTCTATTTTCCCAATAAGCATTTCCATTGCATGTTTACATATTTCAAAAGTACAGCACAATTCGTTTAACATTAACATTTGACATTCGCAAGAAGTGATCTACAAATCAAAAACCTGATACAAAATCAATGCTTGTTTTTTAAATAGAAAAATACCTTTCCATCTGATTTCGAAGACCAAATAAATTCCAAAGCTTTTCTTAAAAATTTCACAATAAAAAACGTACAATCTGGATCAAATGCACTTTTTTTTATATTATAACATACATGCTCTAACACTGAGCCTTTCCAATTGTTGAAGCTTTCAGTGCCGTTTATTAATATTGCTTTTCCCAAAAAGGTGAAAATAGTTTCAAGGCATTTAGTTAGCACAATATCCGTACCAGAAGAATGAGTTATATGCCTTGAATTAAATTTAAAAAAATTACGAGTTGAATTATAAAAGCTATAAATAAATACCTGAATAAGCTGCATGGAATACTGTCACTGGGATTAGAAAATTGATCATTTCCCGAATCTGAATGGATCCAAGTTACAGCCTGCATTGAAACCAAAAACCCAAAAGCCAAATCATTTTTATTACTCACCTCATACTTACATTCCAGTGGTGAAAAGGTGTTGAAGATTGAAAAGTGAGCGTACGCTTAGTGTTAACAATGGACTTCAACTTTATTATTGCTTTGATGAATTCACTATTGCTTTCATATGAGGAAGACTCATCGCTTGACGTCTTGTCTTCCATGTCAAGACACAGCTCACTGAACTGACTTGAAAGTTGGTTTATTTCTACAGAATTATTTTTACAGAATTAAAGAAAAATGCTTAACTTCAAAGTGTTCAACCTTCAATGCACTTATTAGGTTGTGTCGGTATCAAATCGCTTATTTCATTTATTATATATTTCTGCAGATATTTTATAATCTTGCTCTGAAATGGTGAATTTATTTCTTCCTAGAAATTTTAAAATGTTATTTTAAACTGAATAAAGCATGGAGGAAAATTGTACCTTTTCCCAAGCTAGTACACATTGAGTTTTGATGTTTTTGAAATGATCCTCTATAGTTGTTCCTATTGGCTTTATTTTAATTATTGTAATTGCAGTAGCAATAATTACTTTATTATGAACACGTTGAACTGTTCAAAACATAATAAAAATTCACATGAATTATAAAAAAAAAAAAAATTGCGAATCAAGTGGTATGAACAGACTCACTGAATTTTTCTAATTCATTCTTCATTGTACACAAAAAATTTCACCTGTGCAAACATCAACAGTTGTATTGCATTAACCAAATTTAATATCTTAACTTAAACAATGAAAAACAGCCAAATTTATAAAAATAAGCATAAAAATGTAAAAATCAAATTTCAAATGTATTTATTGAATTTGAATTTTTAAAAAACAATTCATTTTATCTGCTAAAATTGGTCATATTGACTATACACCTGCTAAAGTAACTAAAAAGTACAAATCTTAATCAAATTAAGTGATTTTCATTTAACACATAATATTAAACAAAAAATAATTAATGATACATGTAACAAGAAGTGTGTGACAGTTTAGAATGTATTTAATGAAAATTAGCAAATTGTCACGGATTAATCCTTGACCAAGAATTCAAAAATGTTCAAATACTTGTGAATCAATAACTTTTTTGATAAATAGTTTGATTAATTTATATAAGCTCAATTCTACATATACACATTTATACAGAATTGTGCTTATGAGAATCATCTCAGAACCCAGTTTTACCATACTGGTGTCAAAATTAGACTCCAGGGCTGTCCACAGCTAGGTCATTTCAACCCCCAACTGAGAGTTTTAAAACCTTGGCACATTCACACTCTTATTCATTCTTAAATGCATTCTTTACTATTTACTTGTCATTCACTACAGTAGAGTGTTCAATGAGGTACTCAATATTATGCCACCAACCGTTTCATACTATACATTCACACTTATAAATATATTCTCACAAAACCGTTAACACAAGACACATTAATCTCCAAACTTTTTATATAAACAATATTAACATTACCTATGACATAAAAAATCTTTGTATATAAAGCACCCCTGTTTTCTCCAAAAATAGGAACAAGACACCAAAATATCTAGTGGCATTTATACTTGTTCACTATATGGAGCCAAGGAGTGGGACCCTAAAATTAAGTGGGACTCATCGAGCAATTTTTCATTACATGACAGTCATATAAGCTTTGGGTCAAAAGTGTCAACCTAGTATGGCCTATTCATAGTTCATAGTTGGCTAAGTAAATAAGTATAGTTCCTCTTTTTTTATTTAGTTCTTCCAATTGCCACCTATTATCTGTGCTCTTGATATGCAACAATCTTAAAACAGTTAATGAGAGTATTTTGTCAGAGTTAAAGTAGTGACAAAATGTGGGAAATAGTAAAATTGGTACATGGATTCAAAATGTCAAATGTTAAGGCCCTTCTACTAGTTTTATATTTTTTGTTTTTCCAAATATCCCTTGTTATTTTTATTTAGAAGGATCTGTTAAATTTTTTTAAAATTCCATTTCCCAGACATTTTTGTTTCATTTCAATTTGTTGAAGATAATTTCTCAAGAGCCTGAGTGCACTTTTATGCCATCTTCTGGAAGTATGTAAGTAAAGAAGTATGCAAAGTTGGCAATCCAAGTGCGACTTCAAATTGCTGAAATAGAGCAATCAACATGCATTGCCCATGTAATTGTTACAACATACCAATCTTTGTAATTTCTTTAAGAGATCCTGTCATCTTTTACTTTACTAGGGCACAATTATGTACCTGAATCTTTAACCCACACTTGTACCAATCTCCTTGGCATTTCACCATCTGAAGATGGGTGGGGTGAGTCTCAGTGGGTCTGAGCGAACACAGAACATGACCCAGCGAGGATAGGCAATTGGTATGGATTCAATTATATATTTACAAATACTCTGGATCAAGATATGGTCTTGAAGAAGAAACCAAATTCAGTTGCTACTGCCATTTTAAGGTCATCATCAGGACAAAATAAGCTTAAATATGTCTACACACTGGCATATTTAAGTTTTTACAGGCGATTGAAGTCTGACTCTGACCCGACATATGGGGTCAACTCTGTATTTCAACTCAGTCATTGGGACTGTCAATCTGTAGACATATTTAAGGTTGTTTTGCCCTGAAGATGACCTCAAAATAGGTCGAAAGCTTGGGAGTAGCAACTAGATATGCTTTTTTCTTCAAGACGGTACCTTGATCGGTTTTATTAAATGAAAAAGCGGTCGATACTTCTAATACTGAAAACAGAAACTTCAATTATATATTCTTGTTGTGTTGGTCAGTCAGACTCTTTGGCATTTCACCTTCTTCAGTACATAAGTGTTTAATTATTATCTCAAATAAACATTTTTACATGGATGGTCATCAAATTAATATAAACTTCCTGACAATATACAATATCTAATATCTAATTATTGATTTGTATTACAGTATTATTCCTTTAATAATGTAAGGATGGCAAGACTTCAAGCCTAATTCACCCCTTCACATTTAACTTCTAGCAATTTCAATGAATTGTACATATGATGAAAAGAAGAACTGAACCAAATCAGGAAAATTTCTTATGTCAATTATTCACAATGTTATAAAAATAATGCTACCAGCTGAAAGTTTAAAAATAATTTATTGCCAAAGTGTGATTAGAAACAAAATAAATAATTAATTATTCTTAAACCACAAGCAATTCATATATTCACCCATGCTAAAGTAAGATATAGCAAATTAATTTAAAAACCCTAGGTTTTAATTACAAATCAAAATATATATTGGAATAAAAATAAAAAATCGTCAGAAATTATATAATTATTATACAATTTAAACATTAGAATAATAATTAATAATAAATTGTTTTTTCTCACCCTGCTTGTTAACATGGAAACGGACGCCAAAACTTGAAACTTAAACCTTAAGTTACCTTCCTCATAGAACCGTTTAGCCACCCCTTTTGGTTTGTGGTAACCGTAACGGTCAAATATTACTGTTGAAACTTGTTATTACGGGGTTTTTGTCGGTTGTCAGTAATATCCGAGTTTTAAAACTAGTTGTAAGTATACAAGTCATCCAAATGTTCTTTCTGTTTTATTTATTTCTGATTGAACTTGTTTTAGATTGATGTTTTTCTTTTTTTTTAAGAGAAAGTACAAAACTAAAGTTTACCATTATGAGTTGTTTTTATTTTATTATAAGTCAGCATGGTTGAGTTAATGAATCGAAAGTTTTTAAATGGGGGTTTGCAGTATAGATTTTCATGTAAATAACTGCCTGTATAGACCTGTGGGACCACATGAGAGAAGTTAAATCTGAAGGAAAAAAATTTTCAACCACGACCAAACAAAATGTTTAACTTTTGTTTTGTTACAATACTAAAGCGAGTCTGCCACTTTATCTATATGATCAGAACTGAATATTTTCATTGCGTTAAGGTGGCTCCAGAAGTGGGATTCGCCGAATGCTGAGCAAAGGTTTGCCGAATCTCGACTAGTGGGGTCACAATATTCACTGCTTACCTTCCTCAGTTAATTGTCGGTTTCCTTCTGCTTCAAAGTGCACAAATATTCGTGAAGTAACCGAACTCAAACCATCCACACATTTGCGAATCAATTGTAAACATCAACCAACTCTGCTACTTATTTTCAATAATAAATGATTCCTAACTAGTATAGATGTATTAATGAAAGAACGCTGTAGTGTTGTTTCTGTCGGTTAGAAATGGATTGGCCCGACATCCCTTAGTCTGATAGTCTTGGAGTTCCTCAATCAGTACCAGCTGAGTCAATATTTTTGATTGTTTCTATTCTGAATCATAAAAATCAGAACAAAGTTTTCGTTGCGTTGAAACAGATCGAAAGTAAGATGGGGTAAACAGTAGCAATGACAGTTTCACTGTTGTCCATCACGATTGGTAGTAAGTTGAATTGAGCATGGCACTTCAGCAAATATGTGTTTCCACAAAAACCGGCAGGCTGTACTAACCCCGCATGTTACATAGCGTAAGCGCATACATACATAGCATGCTATTTAGCAAATACTAAGATGAGATCTCAAGACTTGGCAAATGTCAGCAGCAGTCAGATTCCGGAGCTACCATTATGCTACTGAAAGCCAGAATAAAATTTCTAATAACAACGTTTAGTCTAACTTTATGTGATCAACAAAAGTTAAATGAAATCTGTCGTGAGAACCTTTGGTTCAAGTTGTGACCAAAACGTAACTTGAAACGTACTTAAAAAAACAGACAAGCCTCAAGTGGTCTAGAAGTGGGCTGCTGAAATCATTATAATTTTATCTTGAGCATTACTGCCTTTGGAATTATCGAATTCACTATTGCAAAGTTAAGAGGTTTGCATTTTGCCTCGGAATACTAGGCAATGTTATGCAGTACCTTTATCACTCAAAATGAGTTGAGTTCTACCATAAAATAAATGAAAATTGCTGGACTTACTATTGCTGATAGAAAGAAAAATATGATAGAATATGTAAAAAGGACAATTATTTGTGTGAACAAAAAATGATTCAAGCCATTTTTAATTGTGAGAATGCACATTTTGTCAGTGTCTAGTCGATCGAAGTAAGTTGGCAATACTGAGTTATAACGTCAATGCTGAAAATGTAATTTTATATACAAATAATTTTTAATATGCATTTCAAATTATGTAGTTTTGTAATTTCCAGTCTGCACATCTTTGAGATTTTGGTCTGTTAGACGTATTTCTACTTTTCACCATCGTCAGTGGTGAGTTGTATAAATCCACCTCTAAAGATAACAAAAAGCAAATTATGTATCTGATAGTTCAAAACGGCAAGGATAGGTAGACCAAAATGATCTTGTACGACTATGCAACAGGTTCATCAGCCCGTTAAGCTTCAAGCATAATCTGGCGATTCTTCCAGTTATGTTTGGTATATTCAGGTCGTAATGTTTTAGCACAAAAGGTCTTTGATATTCGCCTGCTTATATATGTGTAACTGGATATTTTCATTGTTATAATACTGAAAAACAGGAAAATATTGTAATAAGATAGTGTTAGTCCAAGTGTGTCGTTGATCCAAGTAAGTTGGTAACAGAGTATATCAATGCTTAAAATGCAATTTTTATGAATAATGTTAATTTTCATCAACAGTCATAATTAAAATATTTATTTAAAAAAAAAAATTACTCAAAGGCATGGTCACTTGACCATCTGCCAGAGTCCACAGAAACATATATATTAACAATTAAGGAAAGAAGAAAAAAATAGGTAACTTTAAAATTGACTAACATAGGCATATTAATTCATTTTATTGTCAATCCACTTAGTCGGACAGTCAGAAATGTTATAACTCTTTTTTTTTTAATTTGATTTACAGATTTTTTTATGGTTGTATATATGTACAGACCAAATTTAAGGCCTATGACACATGTAGCAGTTTTAATGAAGCAGGAAAACCAAGCCGGTGGGTCATTTCTTTGTTAAGGGTGGTACATGACAAACGGTGTGCTGTGTATCACCTGGCAGTTTTGAAACGGAGTCGGTGGGTTGAAAGATGATTACCCAAGTTGGTTTTGAAAGCATTTTTCCTGGAATAGTTGTGTAGTATTCCATCAGCCGTTCCATGTGTATCTGTTTTGCGTCCAACTATGTGTTAACCTAATTTCTGATTTTTTTGTTTTTTTTATCATGCAATTTTTTGCATTTATTTATTCATGTATTTTCTACATGAACCACTTTTACATGTAACATACTTTTACATTATTAAATTTTACATCATATATATTTATAAGATCAAATTTAAAATTAATTATACCATATATTGTTCATTTCCTGCACGTTACAATTTTTAACAAATTGTTCAAACACTATTACAATGCTGTAAAACATTGTTATATAAGAGGTGCCGGTGGCCACGTAGGTGTTGACACCACACTCATCACTGTAAGGTAAAGGTCCTGGGTTCGAATCTAGCTGCCCTTTTCATTTTCAAAAACACCACCACCCCAAGGGATGATATGACCTCTGCTGTTGTGAATTTGTTAAAATACGAAAAAAAACTTGTTTTCTCTGAGGAGGTTTATTCGAGTGCTCAGCCAGTCTGAACCATTCAGAAATGATACATCCTAAATCTGATTGCTGCAAATGCACCCCGGTAGTGTTGTCACTCCAATTCTTTACAGATATTTCTTGTTGGACCCATGTCCAGTGAGTGTCTCCATCAGCTTTGCCATTATATTAAGTGTCAATCCGACCCTGTCTTCTACCTTTTGAAATTTTCTACCTTTTTATCTAGATTATTATCTTGATTATTCAATATCAGTGCAATTATTGAAGTGTTCTATTTTCGTCTTTTTCCCACAATCAATTGAACCCATATCTAACTGTCATTCTTTTCTTTTTTTAACATTGATAATGTTAAGAATTACTCGTTCTTCATCCATTTCACTAATAAATAATAATATAATGTATTGCACTATAATTGACAATATTGGAAAATGATGTGAACAAGTCGAACATCTGGTGGAATGGTGAAACCGACACGATAACTCCTAGTGAAACAGCAGTGCCAGTCAGCTGCGAACAAAAATGCTTCAGTCAAAACTTCTACATATGTCATAGCCCTAAAAGATTAACTCTAACCCAGAAAACTTGTCAATGTTGAAAATGCTTTGTTTAACCAAAGTTTTGATAGTGTGCTTACAGGCCCATCTTAAGCCAGTGAAGTCTTAGTTTTTATCACATTTTCTCTTAACCTTAGTTCCATATGTTCAGGTTGTAATGGTCAAAGCTGAAAAAGCGGCTTCAGCAGTGAAAGCCAAACCTAGAAAAGCCAATGGCTACAAATTTCCTGAAAAACTTCCGGAAGGGCAAATCCTTAAGGATGTTATGAAAAAGGAATGGATCCTTGGGCCTTCTATTGGTAAAGGAGGCTTTGGTGAAATATATTGTGGTTGGTATTAATAATCAATTTTAGCCTTTGTTTTCCATAAATTAAGTGTATTTGAATTTTAGCTGCACGATATGAGAATGGAAAATTTGATAAGAGCTATCCATTTGTTGTAAAAATAGTAAGATAACAACTTATTAATTTTTTTTTTTTTTTTTTTTAATGGACATCATTTACATCATTTATTGCTCTAGGAACCTCATGAAAATGGTCCTTTGTTTATGGAAAAAAATTTTTACATCAAAGTAGCCAAGCTAGAAAATGGTACTATTTTTTCTGAATTACTTTTTTATTAAATCAATTGTTTAGAATTAATGTGTCTTTTTGTTTAGTTGAGGAGTGGAAAGCCAAGGAGAAAATAAAAGTTTTAGGAATTCCTACGTATTATGCCTCTGGCTCTCACGTTTTCAAAGATGAAAAATATCGTTTTCTCATTATAGAGCGTTATGGGAATGATTTGTGGAACTTGTTTTTAAAAAACAAGCGATTCTTGCCTGAAACAGTTTTTAAATGTGCCTTACAAATAGTATGTGAACTTTTAATTTAACACAATACATGTCTTATATTACATTTTTTATTTACAGATAGATGTGCTTGAGTTCATACACAGTCGGGATTACATACATGGCGATATCAAAGGGGCCAATCTTCTCTTAGGCTTGCAAAAAGGCACAGAGAACAATGTATTTCTTGTTGATTTTGGTCTGGCTTGCAAATACTCGACAAAAGAATTTAAAAGAGATCCAAAACAGGAGCACAATGGAACTATTGAGTATACTAGCTGTGATTGGCACCTTGGCGGTGAGTGATTACATTACGTGATGATAGACTATAATATATTTGGTTGTAAAATAAGTCTATTACATTTTATCCTTCTGATTCAAAGACATTTATTTAAACATTATTGTTTACCCACTCTGAAAAGTTAAGGCCGTTTTTTTAACTGAGTTTCGTTTGAGGTCTCATATTTTTTTAAGGTCCTTTGACAAATTAAAATGGAAAATAAAATAGTGCTTTTTCATAATTTACTTGAGGTTTTATTACCACAAAGAGAAAAACCCCAGCTCAAACTGCTAGGAAAATTTATAACATGTAGGATGATTTTTTTGTAGAAAGCATTTGAGCAAGTCGGTAAGTGGTTTGGTAAGTTTAGAAACAAATTTTGATTTGGAAGACACAGTTTGACTGTCGACCAAATTTAATCTATTTGCACAAACAACCAACACTCACTGCCACAAGATATCACAGAGATACTTATCTCACATATATCATACAAGCTTTTCAACACATCTGAGTGCAGCTGGGTATGTGTGCCAGAGCGATAGTTTTCTCACATGTTGATTAGGAAGAATTTATTGGATCGCATCTCCATCTGCGATCCTTCTTAAAACCAGTTTTAAAATTATTGATAACTGAAGATGAAAAGTGGGCCCAAACATTCAGAGACGAAAATCTTGGGAAAACACAATGGCTAATAAATATATAATAAAACTGCTCCAAAAGCCAGGAATACATGCCAATAAGGTAATGTGCATTTGGTGGGATTGGAACGGGGTGCTTTATTATAGCTTCTTCCACATAACAAAACAGTTAATTCTAGAGAATACTGCTCACAATTGGAACAATTAAAGGCAGCAGTTGAATAAAAATTGGCTAAACACAAGGGCACTACTAAGCACTAGGATACTGCTTGCCTCCATGTTTTTTTGTAAAATGGTTTTGCTTGGTTGGGATGTGCTACCCCCATCCACCATATTCACTTACATTACTCCTTCAGTTTTTTTAATTATTTCAAGCTCTGAAAAATATTAATAGGAAAAAATTTAAACCACTTGAAAAGAAAATTCATTGAGAAGTTCACTCAAAAACCTGAAAAGTTCTTGGAGGATGGAACAAGTTCCTGAAAGTTACATCGAATTTACAACCAATCAATGACTTATTTTACGATCTGATACATTTCATATTTTCTTATTACAATTTAAAACAATTTTTACTGCAATTTTTGAGAATGTGAGGTTTACGATTTCTATATCAATGGGTTTTAGTGCCAACACGTAGAGGCGATATGGAAATCCTTGGTTACAATTTACTACACTGGATTGCCTCAAGCTTACCATGGGAAAATGATATAAAAAATAAAGAAAAAGTCCATGAGAAAAAACAACAATTAATGAAAGATGTTAGCAATTACTTTAAAAAACATTTTCCAAATGTGCCAACAGGTAATAATATTATTTATTTGTGATTGTGAGTGTTCTTGGAGTTTTTCCCGTTTTATTCATTAAGGTATTGTTAAAAGCATCATTTGTTTTAATAAATAACTCCAGGGGGCGTCAGTGGTCACAATGTTTAAGATGTTGGCGAAGTGACTTATCACTGTAAGGTAAAGGTCTTGGGCTCGAATTCAGAGGCGCCAGATACCAGCATGTTAAATTTTTTTTGTTTCACAAAAACACTGACACCCCAGGAGTTGATATGACCTCTGCTGTGTGAACCCCCTTAAAAAAGAAAAACTTACTAAATAAATAACTCCAACTTTTTAAAATATTTTTATATGACTTTAATTTTCAGTCATTTCAAAATACATGGAGTACATATCAAAATTAAAGTATGATGAGGCACCTGACTATCATTTTTGCAAAAATCTTTTTACAACAGAACTGAAAAAGATGTCATGTCCTATTGGAAGCAAACTTGATTTTTCTGCAATAAAGAATACACCGAAAAAAATACCTAGCACTCCTAAGAAAGTCGCGACTCCAAGATCAGGGAAAAAGAGGAAAACTCCGACTAAAGAGATTAACGAAGTCAGTGATGCAGATCCTGAAGAAATCCAACCAAAAAGAACTAGAAGGACACCCAAGAGAAATGGAGTTGTCCCAGAAGAAGACAAAGAAGAGGAAGAAATTAAATCAGAGACAACAGCTAAATTAGAGCCAAAAGCTACTAAGCCCACACGTCGTGTAAGAAGGAAGATTGAAAAGGTTGCCATCTTATCAGATGATGAGGATGATGAAATTATTGCTAGGACCCCTGAAGAACCAAAAAAGACTGTTAAAAAGACAAAAAATCAAAAAAAAGAAGTGGACAAAGTTAGTTGGAGAGATGCCCCAACAGTTGCAGGAAATATAAATAATAAAGCAGGTGAATACATTAAAAAAACAACGTTGTCAAGAAGGAAACCATAATAGAAATTGTCTACTGCTGTTGTTTCAAATATTGCCTGACTTTTTATTATATTTTTTTAAACTATTTTAATGTATGAATACATCATTTACTTGTTATTTTGTTAAATCCTTTACTGTAATTTAACTCAATTTGTTGATCAATTTTTCACTGGTTAACTTATTTATTAATAAAGTTTTTGTGTACAAATAAAAAATATCTGAATTCATTACATAAGCGTTATAGATTGAACCAGCACTGGTCTGCAAGTTATTCAAATTTTCTCTTTGCACCGTCCAACGAATATGGCTGAAATACATATACTAAGTAAGTGACTTAGTACTGGTTCAAAATGTGTTCACCAAATGTCAACTCACAGGCCAAGAAACAACTATATACATACTATACCTACAATATTATGTTGTAATGTTATGTAGGAAACCACAGTAGGTTAGTGGATAGATGTTGCATTCTCAGATGGTATTTCTCGCGATTGTGGGTTCAATATTTTCAATGAATAGTGGATTTTAATACAACCTGCCAAATAAATCGAAAGGAAGTGTGAAAACAGCAAAGTGGTGGTATAGTAATTGGCAAATGACTTAAATTTGTGTTAAAAACTTCATAACAATCGGTGCACAATGGGATAAGTATCAAAAAGTAAAGATAATACTAAATAAATTTTTAAAAAATCACTAGGGCAACTACATTGAATTTGATGAAATGTGAGCACAACAAAAAAAATTCACATCCTACATGTATTTGTATAATTTAAATAATGTGTAATCCCAGGCCCTGAAGATGATCTCAATAAAGATCGAAACGTTGGCACAATAAAGAAAACGTTTTTCTAAATAACCTACATCACACAAGACCGTATCTCACGATCTCCAAATAATCATTAACTAATGGTCACTAAACACTACACATAAAAATAATAAAAAAATTTGTTTTGATTTTTGTAAATCAATTAGTTTCAACAACTTACCCCATGCAACTTTTAAAAATTTACTACTTTTTTCCCTCATATAAATATAAATTAATGTAGTATTTTACTCCTATTTTTCAAATCTGATAAAATCTTTTACTTGTCTTAAATCAACTTAAAATTTGAAGAAAAAAAATCATAAAAATAGGCTGTTTCAATCATCAATTATTACTGAATACTGTATAAATTATTTACCAATTTTCAAAGGTTTGAACCAGAAATCATTTGTTCTATATATAACTGCATTTATATTCCACGATTGTTTTATATTTTTAATGATGTCATGGATATACTTATTGACTCTTCCTGTTGTACATACATTTGATAAAAATGAGTTGTTTATGTCCTGTATCACCTCTACAGGGTGATTCGAGATGAGATACAAAAAATAGTTACGAATTTTCCATCGGATTTGATGTTTTTAAAATCTATGTTAAATTGTCTAAAGAATGAGTCATCTTTCGAACCCTTTCAGTTCAACTTTAGCCACTTCATTACCATAAATATATAAGTGCATTAGTGTTAAAAACTAAACAAGTGTCAATGCGTATTGGGATAAGTATCAGAAATCTAGATATAATTAAATTAATTAAAAACTATTTACAAAGAAAACTTCAATGTGAGTGCATAAAAAAAAAGTTACTACAAAAATACATATAGTACCAAAGGTCTAAACTTTAAAATTGCAATCCTAAAAAATTGGGTTTTTCGACCAGTCCAGTTTTGCCCCAAGGATGTAGATAAACCTTTTAATGGTCAACATTGTGTTTGTTTAATGTTTTCCTCTTCATGTATCATATGTGAATAGCCACAAAATATAAACTCAGACAACTCTAAACAAATTACCACTCATGTGTAAAAATACCCTCAATTAGGTTAGTTGTATGGTATGTGTAAAGTTTGTGTTGAGAGTGTGAGGTGAAAGGGTTGATGGTGGAATATTGAGTACCCTGTCTACCCGCAATTAGGTTATTTGTATAAGGTGCGAAAAGTTTAGTTGAGAGTGAATGTATATATTAGCGTGAATGTGTGATGAGAGAGGAGTACCCCATTGACCTCAATTAGGTTAGCTGTACAATATGTGTAAAGGGTGATGGTGGAATATCGAGTACTCCATCACCCTAATTGAATGAATGGTGTTTAAATAGGCGTGAATGTATTGAATGAACGTGAGTACGAATGGGTTTGGGACTGTACTGTTGGCACCTGGAGCCCAACCTCAGTGGCTGGATGTATAAGAGGTCTGCACCCGGACTGCCAACACCTGGGGTGGGTGATTCTGAGTGTGTCGGTAATTTTCTGTAAATAGCGAAAGCTGGAACTGCCGGTAGACTACAAAAAGCGAATAGGTACAACTTGGCACATGTTTGAATATATGTATGTACATGGGCGGATTTGGGCCTGTATAAATCCAAATCAATTATTATTATATACAGTTTAAACTCTTATTAAACTTATAATTGGGTACGTTTATACCCGTATAAATAAATACGATATTAAATTTGTCAATTGTGTGTGATCTACATTTTGAACTTTAGTAGTAGTTTTCATGGTGCCATGTAGTGGTTTCTAGGTACTTAGAAGGCACAACCGTTTTGGAACCAGAAAAGTGCCATTTAGTTCTCAGAAATATGATTTTTCGACTAGTTTAATAACTAAATGGCCTATGGGCGGACGGCTGGGGGCGGTTCGCTGCCCTTTTGGAATTTATTGATTTGAGTATAACACCGGTGCGTGGCGGTGTGACCGGAGGACCGTATCACTACGGGCCCCCCTCGTCGGTCGTGGGGAGAACACGCTTTCAGCAATCGGCCTCAGTTATTACTGGACGGCTGCCACCGCTCTCGGACCGATCTCTCGCTCTCGACTCCACGTACTTTTAGGCCGAGGTAACTTCTTTTTTTCCGGACGTTTCTAGGATTTCTTAGAAATTGGCTAAGCCTCCGGACACCGAGAGTGAACTTATGTATTTCTTTTTTTTTTTAGTTTTTAATCAAACCTTTTCAGGGGATGTAATTTCACCTGTTGGATGTCCGCTAAAAAATATTCAAATTTTCCTAAACGTGCAACTATTAAAAATTAAGAAAATTGTATACTCTTATGTTTAACGATTTGCTTGAATGTGGCATTTTCCCACATATTTTTATGCAGATTTTACTATTTGGCCAATTTTATATTTATACTTTATGCTCTTAAAATTTGACCATTTTTGTCTGAGGTTAAACAATCTTATCCTGTCCTCTTGTATTATGTACAGTTCGGCTCTTTTTTTCTTTTGCAAAAGTTTGACTATTATTTTCCCAACAAAAAATGTCACAAATTTTACAATTGGGCCAATTTTTGATACTATTGTTTATGTGCGGTGATTAGTGACCGTTAATCGATAATTATTCAGAAATCGTGAGATGCGGTCTGGTGTGATGTAGGTTTCAGAAAAAAGAAAAAAAGAAGAAGAAACGTTGGCACGATAAAGAAAATGTTTTTCTGAAACCTAGATCACACCAGACAGCATCTCACGATTTCTGAATAACTATTGTTTATAAATATTTTCATTTTTACTCATGTTTTTTGTGTTTTTCTGTCTTTTTTTTAACTATTGCACGTACTTTTTACACTTTACTTTAACTTTTTTCTTCAACTTTTGCAAAACTTACTTACAATTTGACTAAATTCACTAATTTCGTGGTCCGCTTGACCAATTAAATCATTACAATAAATTAAGGTTTTTAGTCGAGATGAAAAAAAGTGAATGGCACGAGAGGGATTCGAACCCACGACCTTCGGCTAGATACGCCGCTGCTCTACCACCTGAGCTATCGTGACCTCGATCCGCTCGGACATCAACTTGAAAAATGGCAAAAGGAGGGAAAACTCATAAGGTGGGGTTGAGATGGGGAGTTGATGTCCGAGCGGATCGAGGTCACGATAGCTCAGGTGGTAGAGCAGCGGCGTATCTAGCCGAAGGTCGTGGGTTCGAATCCCTCTCGTGCCATTAACTTTTTATCATCTCGACTAAAAACCTTAATTTATTGTAATTTGACTAAAGTTTATTACACTTTGACTATTATTTTACCAGCCAAAAATGTCTTACACATTTTACAATTTGACACACATGACCAATTTTTTATACTATTGTTTTTAATATTTTCATTTTACTGAAGTTTTTTGTGTTTTCTGACTTTTTTAACGTTTACACGATTTTTGACATTCTCTTTAACATTTTTCTCCGTCTTTTGCAAAAGTTACGTACAATTTTACTATTATTTTGCCAGCCAAAAATGTCATACACATTTTACTATTTGATCAATTTTATATTTATACTTTAAGATCTTAAAATTTGATCATTTTCGTCGGAGGTTAAACAAACAACAAAACAAAAAAATAGACATTTTACAATTTGACCAATTTTTCATACTATTGTCTTTAAATATTTTCATTTTTCCCAACGTTTTTTTCTGTCTTTTTTAACATTTGTACGTAATTCTTACAGTCCACTTTATCTTTTATCTCCATCTTTTATAAAAGTGGCGTACAATTTGTCTATTATTTTGCCAACCAAAAATGTAATACACATTTTATAATTTGACCAACTTTTCATACTATTGTCTTTAAACATTTTCATTTTTACCAACTTTTTTTTTGTTTTTCTGTCTTTTTCACATTTGCACATACTTTTTACACTTCACTTCACCTTAACTTTTTTTCTCCATGTTTTGCAAAAGTTACGTACAATTTGACCAAAGTCATTTTAGTAATTAACAAACCCCCGAGTGAAGACAGACCCAATAAGTGGCCCAGTACTGGTTCAGCATGAGTTCACCGACTCGCAGTACAACATCCAGCGTCAACTGTATTTGTTTTATGAAAAACAAAACATTTGTCTCATTTTGTCTACATTTTTCCTATCTTCTCATTCGCTGCTTTTCCATTTCCAAATTGGCACGCGATTTTTAAAATTGGTAAAACGTCCAGAATATTAAAACGCCTACAATTTGGAATATTTTTAATTTGTTCTCATTACACTGCATTCTCGTAAAAATTCGACAGTGAAAGATATGAGGAAACCTGCTAGATAATGCGTGAGACGTGGAATGCACTTCGAAAACTTATTACAGTACAGTTCTAAGATTCATAGGTTAAGAATCTATCTGCTCGAAAGAATATTATGCCACAAACACGAATTAAAGTGGAAGACTAAAACTTGAATTTACATATTAATTTATAAATTGTTTACCAACTTTCGAAAGTTTAAACCAGAATTAATTATTATTCTATAAATCAAAAGCGTATAATCCATGATAGTTTTCTATTTTTAATAACGTAATAAATATGCTTCTCGATTCTCCCTGTTGTACGCGCATTTGCAAAATTAGTCTTTTAAATTTTTTCTCGAATGGCATAAAAAATCGCACCAAGAGATGTTCTGACGCATATTTTCACTTTTCCGTCGAAATAATAATCAGAATTTTACTAATTTAGAAAAGGGATAATAATTATTAATGGTTAATTAATTTAGGTAAGGTTCGCGAGAAATTTGGTTTAACAATAAAATGCCTGATCGATATTTTTATATATTTTATTTATATATTATCCCAAATAGTGATTTCTCCCTAATCACTATTTATCTTTCACTAATATACTACGGAAGTTCTTTCACATGCTTCATTTCTCTCTCTCACACTCTCTCTCTCTCTCTCTCTCTCTCTCTCTCTCTCTCCCTCCCTCCCCCTCTCTCTCACTCGCTCTCTCTCTCGCCCAAAAATGACTCCTTGTAGAACACCCGCTTTGGTATATATTGGTAGTGAGAGATGTTCTGGTCCTTACTTCAAAGTAACTCGCTGAACTCGCTGTTTACAATAATTTTGATTGAAATAATTTCCAGTTTTTACTGTAACAAAACTAAGTTTATTGTGTGGATTTTTTTAATTTATCTCTACAAAAATGATAAACTGGCTTTTGAGTGCAAAACGAGAAAAGAATGAATTAAAAAGAACAGGTTGCATAAAACTTTGTATTTCCTGACGTGTGGCTCTCTCGGATCTTTATTCAGGGGTCATCTATTTTTCGTTATCACCAATGATAAAAAGTGACCAGTGATAAAATCTTAGGCAGTACTAATACAACATTGTTACTTATATTTATTGTTTTTACTGGCACTCGGGATTGTACATTTGTATTTTGTCTGTTTATTATATTTTTCTTCGTCTATACTAAATGTCTAGACAATTCTTTTTTTAGAATATGATAAATTGGAAGTCAGACAGTTCGTGTGTCGTCGTTTTTGTATGATAACTATCCACTATCCGAGCTTATGTAAGGCGAACGTGATTTTCTCCGTCTGAACTTTCTTATATCGACGAACAAGGAAGCTTCTGTCATTACAGACGGCCAAAACCTTTCAACTAAACCATTATTGATCTCTTTTATTTATATTATGTTTATGTTTATGCCTAGAAGTAGATATCTTGATTTGCACAATGGGAGACCGTGACTCAGGACTGTCTTTTGCTTTCACATTAGGAAAATAGAATAATTATTTCATGTAAATCCTTACAAATTTAAGCACGAATTACCTAATCGAGTGTATATTTGTGTACCAGCAGCCTGATTATTATAGTCTAAAATACAATGCTTTTGTGTAAGAGATTTAAATTAAATAAAAATAATATCGTCTTCTCCGATTCCATACTGATTCAAATTTCAACGAAAAGTGTATTAAATTATTTTAACGGTCCTGACTCGGGGACCTAATTGAGTTTGTAAACTTACCAAAAAATAGCAACTACGTATGAATTACTTTAGCTTACTAATGAATTGTTCACACATGTAAAATGTTCAAATATTAAATTGTTAAACATCAATGTTCAGACTACTCTCTCAATCTCTCTATATATGACTTTTTATCTGTCTGTCCGTCTCTCTCTCTCTCTCTCTCTCTCTCTCTCTCTCTCTCTCTCTCTCTCTCTCTCTCTTTCGCGCATTTTACTATACTTAATTATTCGAAATAAAAAAAATGAATATCGTATGGTCGAAAAGAAATCTCCTTTTTTTCATTTTGTAGAACGTGTTTTGCAGATGAACCTCTTCAACATTACACTTCTTTTCAGCTCACAGTTAGTGTAAATAAAAAGTGAAATTGATAAATAGTAATTGAATGTCTGGCAGTGTAACAAATAAAATGATGGCACAAAGAAAGCAACGAGAAATAAAACGTGTGTATTTATGAGTAGTGGAATGTATGTGTTTTCAAATTAGGACAGTTTAGTGGTTTTTTGGGCAGGTAATTTTCCAACAGATTAAAACCGTTTGAGGTGCGTTCTGTCATTCCGTGCGTTCGTGTCAGTTTCATAACTAAAGAGCATGAATATGAAAAATATAGCCTACAAATTGTTTCGTGTTAAGTCCATATGAGCGTGTAAATCTCAGAAAGTGGAAAATTATTGTTAACTGAAAAAATGAGGTTTTTTAAATTAAAATTCTTTACTGAGGGAACTAAAGTAGACATTGCAATAATAAACTCATTTGTTGAAGGTTTATTACTTTTAATAATGGCGATTAAGAGTCATCGTGCATACATGATAATTGAAAAAACGATCGTGAAAGAAAATTACGAGAGAGAAAAACGGAAAATTATGTTTATGACTGATGAAAATGTTTATTAATACAACAATCATCGATAACAGTTTATGACCATACGAGTAATAAAATATAACTTAATATAAATGTATGCAATTTTGTCCTGAAGACTAAACCCGCAACACTTAAGGGTTATGTTGGTTTAGCATCGTATTAAGGTCAAGCGTGCTATATTGAAAATTAATCCATAGCGGTATATTTTAATAATAATAAATAAATATTTACCCCGTTGTCAATCAGGTAATAACTACTT